ATTAAAAGTGTAAAAGATGAAACATAGATCCTATGAAGATAATGGGATGATTTCTCATCCTATAGAATAACCAACTAAAATTCAACAGCCATTCTGGTCCTTTTTCATTAAAAATTATACTACCATGAAGGAATAGAAACTGCCACAAGGATGGGAGATATTTTCCACAGTAGATGAAGTTGTCCTCCAATGAGTCCTGTCAGATGGTCAAGGATGCCGCATTCCTAATTCAGACCAACACAATGGATTATAAGTGGTGATTCAAATAGAAGATTATAGATCGGTAAGAGGCTGTAGGGCAAACGTTTAGAGTAGACTTAACAACAGAAGCATTGTTAAGAAAATCTAATATTTGAGGCATGAGAACATGGATTAAGGGAAGAAAAACACTTGAAATGCCAAGATATAACAATGCAATTGGATTTACTTAAAGAAAATGTATCAATTCCATTATAGGTAATTATACCAGCATGTAACTTTATAGGTCAGGCATACATGGTATTCAATGCTAGATAGAAATCAGCTTGAGAAATACCTTTGAATTCATACTGTCCTCTTTACGAGGAAAATTTAAGGATCTTCCAAAGACAAAGTTGCAAAGTAAGTGATATTGATTTGAGACAGGAAGGGAATCATAAGAAACTGACGTCAAGTATTCAACCAGGGAATTCCATCTGCTAGTGATGCATCCAAGTAAGAGAAGCTCCTGCTTAAAGAGAAAGAAAGGGTGGGAAAGAATCTACAAATAGAGTGAGAAATTAAAATGAAAAACATGCAGCATTCATCAAATATTGAAATGAAATTCAAATTCACTTACAACCATCTCCAGTAAATTGTCAGTTCTGTTTCCATCAGAAATATTCAGCTGCTCAAACACTTGTACCCACTGATTCTTAGAGCCAGAAAATATCAAGCTAGCACCAGAGACCGATCTAATAGTTTTCTTATCAATAAAATATGATAATGCCCTAGATTTCCATTGGTTCCATGTGAAAATATCAACTGACGTCTCTTCACTCCTGAGTACAAAAATTATAAGTTTAGATCTTCAAGCAAGTCATTCTCACT